ATCCCTCTTACAAAATCATACTCTGTGTATGGATTTTTACTCAAAAGGAGAGGCACTGTAGACTTTCCTGCTGCAGGCAATTTGCTGTTCCACCTTAGGCAGCCAAATATCTTGGGCTGACTCTGTCAGCAGCTGCATACCAAAAGCTAAGTGCCCTCTTCTAGCCTGTAAAGTTTAGCCTTGGTTGGAAGGAAATTGGATAGCTGTCTCGTAATCAGCAAAAGTCATATTTAGGTTGCAACCTTATGGATTTCAGCGAGGTTTCAAAAATAATCGCAAACCTGTCATCTTGGCTGAGATTTTAAAATGAGCCAAGCTCCCCTTTGAACCTTGGTCTGCCAAAAGTTCCACTAAAGATGTCAGATAATTCCTCCATTCAACACAACTCAACAAGCAATTCCCAGAGAAAACACATTGTGTAGAGAAGAAAAGGGGTTACCCCACCACAGCGGTTGGTCTGCTATTATCTCTCTCATTTCATGTCACCATGTTTGAGTCCGTAAGGCTTGCTTTTGGAGTGCTTGACTCTTTAGTGACCTTCCTATACCACCTGAAGGAGTATATTTGTAGAACAGAAGGAGCTTTTTGGTAAATGTATATGATTTTTTATTTTAAGGCAAGCACAATAGATTCTCATTCCTGAGTGCTTTGATAAACAGTCATCTTGACATATTTAGTGACTTTCAAAAGTTAGATGCTGTATACTCAAGCAGAAATCCTGACTGATCTTTTTTAAAAAAATAATTACTTATTATTTTAGACACTTTAGTAACTGCAGATAGTATTTTGCAACAAAAATTCAAGAGTGCAGTTGATCTATAGCAGGGTTAGAGAACGTGTGGCCCTCCATATGTTTCTGAACTACAACTCCCATCATCCTTAAGCATTGACCATACTCACCAGGACTGATGGGAGTTGTAGTGTGACAACTCCCCAACCCCATCCCTACAACATTTTAACTTCTTTGAATTTTCATCATCTGTGATGGTTATGCAGCAGAGCCCAGCCCCAGCCCCAAAATACTGGCAAATGATTATAAATGTTGTAAATGAGATATTTAAATTAAAACCAGATCTGAAATTGTGTTTGCTAAACTCTGTGAAACATTAAAACCTGTAAATGCTCTTGAACCTACTGTGTACTTATTAACAGCTGTAAGAATTACATTTGCAGAGTTTTGGAAATCTAATCTAACACCTAAAGAAAAGTCTGGTTGACTAAGATTAAGGATTTGATTATATTAACGAAGGACCTTATTATATTAGCTAAACTAAGTGCCTATCAGAAAGATGAACAAGGGTAAAAAATTATGAATTTGTAAACATGTGAAACAATATTTACGTCAAATAACTAATGAAAAAGACTATGCTAAGTGCTTAAGTTTAATTGAATAGCGCAGCTGAAAATACAGATGGGAAAATAACATAAACAGGAATGAATTAAACAATAATGTATAGCAATATAAGAACTCTGTGCTCATGATAAAATAGGAAAACAAATTGTTCAGCTGTTTTATACAGTTGCCTTATACAGTTGGGTCAGTTAGACAGTTGGGCCACCTAAATCAGTGCCTGCAACAGCCCTCAAGGGATTCCAAAAGGGAGTCCTTTTCTGGAGACACCGGGGTTTGTTGGCTGATATGCCAAGTGGTTGGCAGGCACTTGCCAGTGCTAACATTTCTCACCCTCATCTGGGCACAGCAGAAGCACCCCATTCCTCACAAACTGAGAGAAGTAGCACTAGGCAGGTGTGTTTTATTCATCTATTTAAAACATTTCTATGCCTCTTTTCATTTACAAATACAACAGCACAGTGGCTCACATTATTAACAACAACAGCAACCCAATAGTCCATAAAAGTCAACACCAACACCCAGAGACTAAGGGTGTGAGTGAAAGCCTTATTGACGGCTATGGGTTCCTGCTGGATACCAAGGGGGAGAGCATCCCACACAGTAGGCATCACAAAGGAGAAGGTCATTCTCCACCCCACCAGATGAACTTCTGTAAGTTTTGGCACAGTCAGGAAGGCCCCATTTACAGACTGTAGTGACCTGGACAGTCCATATGGGAGAAGGTGATGCTGCAGTGGTAGATCATCTACTCAGCATGCAGAAGGTCCCAGGTTTAATCACTAGCATCTTCAGGTAGGACTGTGTATGTCCCCTGCCTGAAACCCTGGAGAGTCACTGCCATCATTGTAGACAATGCTATATTCTTCTCTCCTATGTTCCTCAAATCTATCATCTATCTCTATCATCTATCTATCTATCTATCATCTATCTATCTATCTATCATCTATCTATCTATCTATCTATCATCTATCTATCTATCTATCTATCTATCTATCATCTATTCATCTATCTATCTATCTATCTATCTATCTATCATCTATCTATCTATCTATCTATCTATCATCTATCATCATCATCATCATCTATCTATCATCTATCTATCATCTATCTATCTATCTATCTATCTATCTATCTATCTATCTATCTAATCTATCTATCATCTATCATCTATCTATCATCTATCTATCTATCTATCTATCATCTATCTATCTATCATCTATCTCTATCATCTATCTATCTATCATCTATCTATCTATCTATCATCATCATCTATCTATCTATTATCTATCTATCTATCTATCTATCTATCTAATCTATCTATCATCTATCATCTATCTATCATCTATCTATCTATCTATCTATCATCTATCTATCTATCATCTATCTATCTATCTATCATCTATCTATCATCTATCTATCTATCATCATCTATCTCTATCTATCTATCTATCTATCATCTATCTCTATCTATCATCTATCTATCTATCATCTATCTATCTATCATCTATCTATCTATCATCTATCTATCTATCTATCTATCTATCTATCTATCTATCTATCTATCTATCTATCTATCATCTATCTATCTATCATCTATCTATCTATCTATCTATCTATCTATCTATCATCTATCATCTATCTATCTATCTATCTATCTATCTATCTATCTATCATCTATCTATCTCTCATCTATCTATCTATCTATCATCTATCATCTATCATCTATCATCTATCATCTATCATCTATCTATCTATCTATCTATCTATCATCTATCTATCTATCTATCTATCATCATCTATCATCTATCTATCATCTATCTAGCTATCATCTATCTAGCTATCTATCATCTATCTATATCTATCTATCTATCTATCTATCTATCTATCTATCTATCTATCTATCTATCTATCATCTATCTATCTATCATCTATCATCATCTATCATCTATCTATGCAAATCTAAAAAAATGTAATATAAACACTGACAATTGGGAAACACTTGCCTGTGAGAGCTCCAGTTGGAGAACAGCTTTTACCAAAGGTGTCATGGCCTTTGAAGATGCTCAAACTCAGGACGAAAGGGAGAAATGTGCTAAGAGGAAGGCCCACTTGGCAAACCCTCACCATGATCAACTCCCACCCAGAAACCAATGTCCTCACTGTGGAAAGACATGTGGATCCAGAATTGGCCTCCACAGTCACTTATGGATTCACTGTTACGATAATGTTCACGGAAGACAATCTTACTCGGCTACAAGTGATGGCCAAAGAAGATCTCTATCATCTATCTATCTATCTATCTATCTATCATCTATCTATCTAATCTATCATCTATCTATCTATCTATCATCTGTCTATCTATCATCTATCATCTATCATCATCTATCTATCTACCTATAATCTATCTATCTATCTATCTATCTATCTATCTATCATCTATATCTATCTATCTATCTATCTATCTATCTATCTATCTATCTATCTATCATCTATATCTATCATCTATCATCTATCTATCTATCTATCTATCATCTATCATCTATCATCTATCATCTATCTATATCTATCTATCTATCTATCTATCTATCTATCTATCTATCTATCTATCTATCTATCATCTATCTATCTATCTATCTATCTATCTATCATATCTATCTATCTATCTATCTATCTATCTATCTATCATCTATCTATCTATCTATCTATCTATCTATCTATCTATCTATCTATCATCTATCTATCTATCATCTATCATCTATCATCTATCTATCTCTATCTATCTATCTATCTATCTATCTATCTATCTATCTATATCTATCTATCATCTATCATCTATCTATCTATCATCTATCTATCATCTATCTATCTATCTATCTATCTATCTATCTATCTATCTATCATCTATCTATCTATCTATCTATCTAATCTATCTATCTATCATCTATCATCTATCTATCTATCTATCTATCTATCTATCATCTATCTATCTATCATCTATCATCTATCTGTCATCTGTCTATCTGTCTGGCTGTCTGTCAGTCTGTAGGACTATTTTAGGTGCTTCTGAGAAGCAGACTAGGATCAACAACTCATTGTCATTTTTTAAATTTTTTTAAAAATTGTCCAGTAGCACCTTAGAGACCAACTAAGTTTGTTCTGGGTATAAGTTTTCGTGTGCATGCACACTTCTTCAGATACTTCAGATGCACACGAAAGCTTATACCCAGAACAAACTTAGTTGGTCTCTAAGGTGCTACTGGACAATTTTTTTATTTTTTATTATTTATTTTGACTGCGTCAGACCAACACGGCTATCTACCTGAATCTAGAATCATTGTCATTTTGTTCTGCTGCTAAAATAAACCCCCGATCAACCCTTATGCAAAAGAGTGCTGCAATCTTTTCTTCCCCCTTCAAGCAGAGGCCAGAAAATATACACATTGCACCCAGGGTGTTATTATAACAAAATGAAACACTACATCACATTTACACTTAAGAAATCCCGTTCCTCTCGAAGTTAGCACCTTTTCAAGGACCTAAATGTGAGAGACTGACCTTTTAAAGTATGAGATGCCTTTTTGAAATGTTCAAAATGCAGCAACGAGCAAAATCAGTAGGAGGGAGCCAAGAGATACATTATCTCAAGTTCCTTTGGCACGTGTGAATGGAGAAAGAAGAAGCCTTGGCAGTGATCTCACAGTCCTGCTGTTCACGAAATGCAGGCAGAAAATAGAGATCATATTTTTGTATAAAGCGTAGGCCTATGTTAGTTGACTAGACTGTCAGATTTTATTTTTATGGTGAACTGTTCTGGGCTGGCTTCTCAGCAGAGTGGATGGAGCATCCTTTCCCACTTGCTGCAGCCTGGCAAATGGTTCAGGGTAAAGGTGAGGAACCTAATTCAGCCTGAGAATTGCCTCCTCTCCAGAGACTGCATCAATGGCATAGCATGGGAGTGCTACCGGAGTGATTGCCCCGGGCACAAAATTTCTTAGGGGTGCACCTCTGCAGCTGCTGCCCCAACCAAAGGTACTCCCCATCCTGCCACCCGATTCACCTGAGCAGCATGCTGAGCAGGAGCTGGGAGAGGACTGGCCTTTGCATCCCTTGGCCATGCAGCATTCCCCACTAGCAGGGGGTGGGCGAGACTCATGGCAGTGGCGCCCCAGTCCGAGGAGGTGCACACGCATGTCCCACCACTGCTCCACAGTTCTGTCCAGCAGCAGCACCAGAGGTCACATGGAAGTGCTGGTTAGGGGGCGCAATACTCACCGTAGGGAAAGCAATATTTGCCTTGCCCCGGGTCCTGGCACTCCATGATATGCCACTGAACTGCATGCAAGCAGTGGGTGGGGCCAGCGGCAAAAGTAGGTGGAGCAATCAATGTGAACGTGACCTTTGCACAGTAGGCCGTTCATAAGCCAGAGGTTTACACACACACACACACACACACACGGCTTTCACCATTCAAGAGGCATGATCACAGCGGGACACATTTCAGCCAGGCAAAAGCACATGGGTAGAGTGTGGAGCAGGGCTGGCAAGAGAGGAGAGAAGGTTGATGGCCAGGGAATGGGACAGTATTGAGGGCCTGATAGAAAGATCTGGAGGGCCATATCCAACCACAGAACTCCTGGCTATTTGTTTTATAGATGGCGCAAAAGTAAAAGCAAAAAGCTAATCATTTCCATTGATTCCCATTTTTAAATTCCTCTGGCAGTTTTTGTAGATCCTGCTCCTCACTTGTACATAACTTTAAGGCTTTTTGATACAATTGGCTGTTTTATTACCTGCAGAGTTTTGTGTGGATGTTCAATTAGCATTCCAGAGAACTGCTTCCCTCTCTGCATATTATTCACAGGTTAAGTATTCCACATAAAGGCTCCTCAAATCAGACAACCTGAATTGAACTTAATTAGAAGAACTTGGAGTACTGAGGAAAAAGAAAAGAAAAGACAGAATGCAGCTTGCCAGGTCTTCCTGACAAGAAAAGATGCCGGGAAAGTGAGCATGTGGAGGTGGAGGTAAGATACTATTAGGGAAAATGCCTCAAGAAAGAAAGTGAAATGTTAACAGGCACCGGATCTCAGTGAGCAGCCTACATGTCCAATTTCACAGCACTGAGAGCTTGTGAAGAACATAAATATCGCAGCTCTGTACTATAACAGGAACACATAGGGCCCCTGAATAAGCTTAAGCAGGGGAATTCTGTGTGTGCGTGTGTGATGCAGCCTTCTGTCCTATTGTATATGCCAGTGTAGCTAGTTTCTAAATCTGCAGCAGCATCTTTTGAGGTGAAAATTGGGTGTGCAGAGGGAGAAGCATGTATGCGCATTAGCCCACCTACCCACAGTTTACTGAGTGGTGATCTTTGCATCAGGAAAATGTGGGAATGTTGAGGCTGGCAGGAGAGGATATATTGATTATTAATACCCCTCCTAACTCGTGTTAGCAAGTTTCTTTATACAGCAGAGTGCTTTCCCCTTCTTACGTAGCAGAAAGATGGTTGCAAAGTAACAGGAAGTTAAACTGCCTTTACCAACATCCTCTGCATGACCACTCTAGCAAAACAGGTAATGTTGTACTTGACGGCTCCCAGTGGATTACATCCCACAGAAAATCCATGTATCACCTCTCCTGACCCTTCTTTCTACCCACTCTGGCACAGGAGTAAAGATGGCCCTCCAATACAAGCTTATCCATCTTTGGTTTTCCTGTTTTTCCACTCTATTTTTTAAAAATAAAAAATATGCATTAGGAATATGCCATCAGAACCAGACTACTCTTGTAGAAGGAAGAGAGTTGCTGTTTTGTGTGTGTGTGTTGTGTCCTGTTGTCATATATTTCATTGTCTCAGGGTAAATAAACAGAAGCAACACAAACACGCACGCACACACCAAGTTGGCAAAATCATGAGTCATAATTGCGTTGTCGGGTACCGGTTCTCCTTAGTCTCCCCATCTCAGAATGTAGGCTCACTTGAGCCATTTGAGCATCCTTGGCTGAGCCTCCCATCAGCCTTTGAACAGAGAATGGCTCCTGGCAGGAACAGCTCGACCAGCTCTAATTGGAGCTGGCTGTGGTTCAGATCTGCTCCTTTCCTTGTTTTCCTTTAATTCTTCATGAATCTACATTTCTTCTGTGTCCCACCTAATTGTTTATTTCCTTATTTGCTTCCCTCCTCAGCTGGGCTCACAATCTCAAAGTAAATCTGACTGCAGAAAGGTGTTGGAGAGGGAATGAGACCTTGGTAATGGACGACTTGGTAGGAAAAGAAAAGAATGAGCAACTTCCTGGTGCCCACTAACACTCTTCCATGAATGGCCCTTCAGTCTGACAGTCATTTCCACACAGCTGTGAGAAGCATGCATTGTGTGTCATTCTGTCTTGTTCCATCCCATTGTATGTATTTTGTCATGAAATACATATTTTTCAATCCTTTTCAGTGCATTCACTGGGGGGTGGGTGGGTGGGTGGAGAGATACATATTTTAATACATCTTTTATGTAAAGTATGGGATTTAAGCACACTTTTTGTACACTGAAAAGCCATTGCAAAAATGGAGATGTGCACAATCTGACTGGGAATTGCTATTCCGATCCACAAGCAATTTGGGAACTGAGTCTGTCCACTCTGAAAAGCAGACATAACACATCCCTAATATGTATCTTACTGCCCTATCTCTTGCTAAGATCTTTTTTTAACACTACATATATTGGGGGGGATTATTGCCCAAAGAGATCACATGCATGATTCAAGATCAATGGACCCCCTTGTCCCAGTAGCAATTCCACAATGGCGGGTTTTGGTCATTCATCTTGTTATGAATTGTACATTAAAAAGAGAGAGAGAAAGGAAAAGTGTCGATCTCCTCCGAAAGAAGTGAAAGAATACCAAGCAGAACAGGAGATGAATAGGAGCAAATGGGCTGCTATCGAGCATGAAAGTGACATGTTTAGTCTTCATCTTCCAAGCCATTTAGCAAAGCAGATGGTCAATGATTTTCTATAGCAGGGTCCCAGTTAACTCTGAGCCTTTGACCTGAGAAAGCTCCAGGATTATCCACCCAACCTAAATAGCCTGCCAGGCAGGCTTGGTTACATTCTCATGCCACAAGGATAAAAGACACATTCTAAAAGGACGTTCCCTTACACAAGCCACATTCGTTTCAATGGGTCTTATGCAAATTGTGTCCCCAAAAGAATATTCCAGAGGCAAACATTCGAGTTACTTTTAAGCAGTGCTTTTTCTGGGGGTACGCAGGGGTATGCATACCCCTAAACATTTTGTGAATCTAAGTTTGGCCTCATTGAGGGGCAGTATTTCAATATGAGTAGGAAAATGAGAGTACCCTTAAATGCTTTTTGTTTCATGTTTGGAAAAAAGAACTGCTTTAGAGTGCTTCCCTATCAACTTCATGTACATCACAAAACAAAATAAAGACCCCATTTTACTCCTTGATTGAGAACAATGACCAAGTTACACAGCACATCCAGGTCTTTTGATAACCAGGGCTCATATACAGAAGGTTGTCTCACAGCAGAAATTTTGGTATCGGAATATTTTTTTCCTTGGATTAAGAAAGGTTTTATAATGTCAAAGAAAACTGTGCAAATCAGGGAGGGGGGCAGAGAAGGATTACAAGACTATCTGTCACTCCACCCTGAAATATGTTTACTTGAAGCTGAGATGCAGTAAGACTTGTTTTGTTTTCAAGTAAACATGCTGAAAGAATGTCTGTTCTAACATCTGGAGCTTGTTGAAGCTCCATACAAATTGACCTGCTTTGAAGACACAGTGCTATATCTAACTGGCAGGTTTCAGATAAGGACCTTTCTAGCTGCTTTCACAGGAGCTGTGAAGCATTTGTGTAGGAAAAGAGCTAGAGAGAGTGTCTTCGCTTTCGCTTCTGAGTGATGCAGAAGCAGTGTCAAGTGATCTTGCTGTTTGCAGAATGAAGGCAGTCCTATTTATTTACCTTGTTTGGTTTGTCTGCACTCTTTAAGCCTGTTGGCCCACAGAGTGTCCTCCTTTTATCCCTTTGGAGGCTAATATGATACAGGTTAAGATGTAGTAATCATAAATAACATCAGTCCTGGATGAGAGGTTTCACTTTAATTGGCAATCAATATGGGGCATATACCACACATGGATTACCTGGAGTATCCTCATTTGTTGCCCTTGGTGCTTCCTTTCTGCAGTGGAACCTGAATATGAATGAGTCACCAATGTTGTCCTTTTGTGACTTTCCAGCTATTATAGAGGAGGCCACTGACATCATCCTTTAGCTCAAGTGGTGAAGGTTCCTGCTCATTAAATTGTTTTAAATAAGAAGCCTCTAGCAGAGTAATAACAGACATAAGGTTGCATTAAAATAACCACGGAGCACAGGAAAGACATTCTTATTCTCCCCTTATTCAGCAATTCCAAATGATACTCTCTCCCCCCCCACAAGGCTGCTCAGTTGTCAGAGTTCCAGTAAACCAACTCAGACTGTTGTACTACCCCCACTCACCTGCAAGTAATTCCATTCAGTGGGACTTACCTGTGAACATATGAGCACAACAATAGCCTGCTGCATCAGACCAATGGCCTATCTTGTCTAGCATCCTGTTCTCACAGTTCTCACATATAGGATTGTGCTGCTAAGCATTAGTTTTGTCATTTGTTTTTGAGGATTGTTAAACTGGTCTGGATAGTCTAACTCTGGAACAGGAAAACAAAGCCCACAAGTGTCCCAGGGAAAAAATGGGACATTTCAGGCTCCCATTTGGGGTGCCATGACGTCATGCAGTTCATGCTGAGATCTTGCCCCCCCCCAAATGTTTCTTTCTTTCTTGAGTTTTGGGACTCGAGATGTTGGAGGTATGGGGACAGGGGTGTCCTAACAACTCTCATCAGCTCCCTTAACAAATGACAGAATTCTCTGGGGAAAGCCATGATTGTTTAAAGTGGTGTTGGAGTGCTTTAAACATATTACGTGAATGTTTAAGCCTCTTTCATGCTTCTCTTCATTCTTTGCATCACCGGCTCACAAAATTTCTCCATCTCAGTGGCTAATGACTACAGTCTTCTTCTTTTTTCCTGCTTGGTATAAGGTTTCAGTGGCCAGATGGTGGCATGTATGGCCATGTACATGCCATTATGCTATGTAAAAGGTTCAGAGCTCTCCAGAAATTGAGCAGACGGGCTTATAGGCCTGGCTACAACATATGTAGGCCTGTACCCCCCCACCATGCCTCAGCCAGGTTATACTGTGCACTGTCAGGCCCCTTCACTCAAGGAGAAAATAATATGCCCTATGGCGGCAGTATCTCATATTTTGAACTCAATTTGTGGCACATTTGCCAAGGATGTTGGCCATCACCATTCACAGGGTTTCCTTTCCAGTTCAGCGTCCATGTCATGCATTGTGTATGTCATGGAGGACTGTGTTAGGGACTGTGCTGATGAGGGCTGCACTGAGGAGGAATGGTGGGAGCCACTCCCTCCCCCTGATCCTGATCCTGAACCTTCCCAGAGCAGGAGGACGATATAGATTTGGAACAGTGGTTTACAGAGGGGCATAGTTCAGAAGGCAGAAGCTGGGAAATACTGGATGGGGAACAGCTAGGAGACGAAACACTGGAAAAGAGAGGGTTAACAGATTCAATCGTTGGACAGCATTCCTCCGACCCCCCCCCCCAAGTCATGAAGAGCTCAGAGGGTCTCAGAACAGAAAGCGCAGAGGGTACAAGCTCAAATTACAAGACATAGGAGTGGCATAGATTAATAGGAACAGAAGGGGAATCATAGAATCATAGAATCATAGAGTTGGAATAGACCACAAGGGCCATCGAGTCCAACCCACTGCCAAGCAGGAAACACCATGTGTTTCTTAATTGATCCTTAATTGGAAGCACCACCATTTCTAGGAGATGTGTTCTTTGTTCTCTCACAGTGATCATCAAAGTTTCTAATTGGTAAGACATTCCTTTCTTTGATCTTCTTATCTACTACCACCGGTGGGGGGGGGAGGGGAGAGCTGATTCCCCGAAGCCTGACACTATGCCACTTTGGTCCTCATGGAACTCCAAGATGAAGCACTTGCAAGGGAAGTGCTGAATCACATTCTCAACCATCTGAAGCAGCACAGAGACGACAACACACAGCACTTCACAAAAGTGTCACTACTGGCTCATGATCCTCCACTCGCAAACTAAGCACAATTCATCCCAGAAGATCTTCTGTGTACGTCCTCTTTGGCATTTCACATCCTATATGCAGAAAGATGCTGTGACTGCCAACGCCGACCTGAGTTGTGCTCTCTTTAATTTGTTCTAAACCTTGTGGTAGTTTCCGACACCTTGAAGGAATAAGCTGTGCTTCCCGTGACCTTGAGAGCGTCTCTTCTGATTAGAGCACAGTTTTGCCACCGTTGCTTTTACAAGCTGTTTTCAGGATGTCAGAAGAAATAATGTTTAGAATGTCAGCCGGATGAGGAGAAGTAACACAAGAGACAAAACACACAGCACAGACAAACAGCCCTTGAGGCAAGGAAACTTGCCCTCCAAGACTAGTGGATCAGAGAGCCACAAGAGGCACATCTTTCTTTGCTGTTTTGCTTGTCACCTTCAAGTTCTTAAGGTAGAATGGATGACAAATCCTACTTACTCTGCCTTGTACTAAGACAAACAATTTAATGTCCTGAACTACAGAAGTACCTTACATTTTTATTCAAGTAGACATGCCTCACATGCATAATACTTAGCCGTCTCCATCTACAGGAAGCTGAAGCCACTGAACATGGCTAAAAAAATTTACTTACTATGTTTCTATCAATAAATATTTGTGGAGACTGTCTGGACCTCTATTTTAAGAGGAATTTCAATAACATGTAATTCAAATGTAACAGGGGATCCTGCTTTCTGTTAATTCTCTTTATTAGGGAACAAGAACGGGGACCTGCCTTCTAGAGATCTCGTAACTTTTAGGTTAGTGGCTGCCAGGCTTGCAATAATGGACCACTAGAAGGAGAGAGATAAGTTGTCTGTGGACAAGTGGTATGGGAAGTTTTGGAATGTTTCCAGGAACTTATAAAAGGCAAATTGAGTCAGCTTCCCAGATTGTTGTGATAGCTTTCACTCCATGCTGCTGAAACCTGACAGACTTCAGATAGTTTAAAAGAGCAGGTGTATTTGTGAACAGTTAAATAGTAAGATGTGCCCTCATTTTTAAGTTCGCTGTAGAGTAGTTGCTTTGGAAGACGATAATCAGGCACAACATGAGCAGTCCAACAAAGCTGATGTTGAAGAATCATTGCTTCGACACTGGTGATCTTTTGCTTCTTCCAGTACACTGGCATCAGTTTGCCTGTTTTCCCAGGTGATGTGTA